CAACAGTATGTGCTGTTGGGAATTTGAACGGAACACGGGATGGCCGACTATTCAGTCCATGATGCTCTCCAGGAACTTTAAATCAATCTGAGTCTCAGAAACTTGTCGTGTCACTATCTGTATGCACACCTGTAGGTAGGGCTGCAGATTCGCGAAGTGCATCTCGCACGCTGCCCCAAACATCCCCAAGCTTGTCCATGGAGGCATTGACATTGCCAGCATTCCGAGGCGATGCTCGCACCACAGCAGCTGTGGCGCGACTCCTGCCGGTGCAGCAAAAAGCGGTCAACGACGACATTGTCCGTACTAGCAGCCGAACCTAGTTCGTTTGCCTTGATTAAGTTTTTCCGGAATTATTTGTTGTTCTATTATCTTGCCATGTCGCTGCCAGGACCATGCTGACTCCGCAGCCTTTCAGCGCTTTGGGGGCGCGGGGCTTCGGGCTCAATAAATCCAACAAGTAGATGACAGCTCCTCACTGGATTCAAGACGCAGGCATGGGTGTTGTTAGAGAAACCATCAGCTGTGCCGCTTTGGCCGCTTTCTGACGGCCATAAAAGGGACGGGCTTTGTTTTTGTCCCAGCTCGAGTCTTGAAACCTGCTCCCCAACTCCCACGTGGCTTTTGACCAACTTGCTGCGGTGCAGGAAGGCGGCAGTTTCACTTTTTTAGGCTTGGCGCTTTGATTTTGTTGTCATCCGGCGACGCCATGGCAGAGGATACATGTTGCTGCCTGAGTGGCGCCACTCTGCTGCCATGAATGTACGGTTGGGTTATCACACGCCCACATATCTCAGGTTGATGGAGACACGCCAGTTCTTCAAGGCCACACTGGAACCCCCTGACAACTTCAGGCAGAAACTCCCCGACATCAGCCTCGAGTCCTAGATCCAAAGCCCTGAACACAGGGAGGCAAACATATCTTTATGTTCAAGAAGCCAGCCATCGAGCCTGCGTGCGTTTTCGAATCGGCTACCCCGAACCCCAGAACTGCCCGACCAGCCTCGCATTGACGGAAACTATCGAGGCCAAACTCTTCGAACCACAAGCCCTGGCACATTTGCTTTCGGCTTCTTTCCCTCAGCACTGGAACTCAAAATCAGGAAAGCTTCGGATGTCAGAACTGGCAGGCTTCAGAGTTCAAGCACCCCCGCCTCCACCCCATGCTGCTCCAGCCTTAGCCAGTCGAGGTCAACAGCCTCTTCCAGGTCTTACGCCGGAGGCCCTCGATACCGGAACGGGTCCGGTGCCGTGGCCGGCATAGACTGCACGCTTGGAATTAATCGTTGGGGTGTGCATGTTCGGTCGCGTCGTGCTAGGAGGTTGGTGATGGTTTGTGCGTTCCAATATTTTCCGGCATTTTAGGCCGGGGGGTTCAGGATTGACAAGGCTTGACCTTGTGGCGAGTTCAATCTTTGCCAGAAGCTGATGAGTAATTCATTCGCTGGTCTCCGTGGAAGCTGTGTGACACCAAGCGGCGGCGTCGTCGTGGCTGTCGCAAGAACTACGGTACAAGATTCGCTGGAATTGTCCCAAAGCCTTGAGCACTCAGCATCCTTTAAACCCTGCGGCACTCAAGACTTGAACCCGAAAGGCCCCAAAGTCCTAGGTCCTAGAGCCCCGAAGCTTGAAACATCGAATCGAAGCTAGGATTGAATCTGGCCTGTCGGTGATGTCCGCAGACAGCCTGGCGAGACCACGGCAGGGGAGCTGGGCCTCTCCTGTTCCCTCGCCTCAGCTGCCGCATAGCGGAAGCCAGGGTTTGCGGGAGTTTAGGGTTTTGAGGCCTAGGCTCAGGGGCTTCCTGTAGAATTTTAGCGGGTTCAGGTTGGAGTTGGGGTTCGCGGTTGTTTTGCAACAAGGCTCGGGATGTGGGGAGTGACTAGGAAGAGGGGAGGTAAGCTTCAGTGCAGCAGTGTGCAGAAAGATTGCCAGAACGATTACATGTCGTGGTTATCGAAGTGTATGGAGCGAGGAGACTGAGTGATTCCCATCAATCAAGCCTCGCTGATTCGGTTGCATGTCGCACATAACTAACACACAGAGCACTTGTCTGATGTATAGTGGCGCAGACTTAAACGACATGTAGAACTCCTGTGTTTGGGACCGTCTCGAACTCAGGAAGAGTGCAGAGCCTCCATCCTTCAACGAGGACCCAAGGCTGAATTTGATCATTACACGCTGCTCCCAGGTGTGAGCATGGCAGTCGTAAATTTGAACTTGACTTCGGGTGCAGCGTGCGAAGGCCTGATTTCTGCCCAGGTCATACCCCGCACCATACGCTCCCTGCTCCAAAAGAACTGAACCGGATTTTCGGAGGTAGAGGATGAAGGTCGGCAAGGCTGCAGGAGTGAGGGCAGCGTTTCAGAAGGCCCTTAAGGCCCTTGCATGCTGAAGCCCGCGAACCCACAAACCTAAGAGCACGAAACCTCAAGAAGCTCCAGGACAGCCTCAAGTGGATTCTCGACACCCTCAGTCCGACGGCTGGCGCCAGCCGGTTTACTGAGGCAGGGAGTTTAAGGAACAGTTTGTGTCTAGGAATTCTGGCTGATAGGCTTGATGTTGGATCCTTGCAAACCATAAAGCTTAGACCTGGAGCAACCCGAATTTCGAAGTCCCCCGCTCAAGTTTTTTTGCGTGTACATCAGTGGGCGTCCTTGAAGATTCGGCCCCAGAGTCAAGCGACGTGGGGGCGAAAAAAGGGTCTAGGGTCTAGAGTTTGCGGCTTCAGTTTCCGGACTGCCCGGCCGTTTCTTTTGGATTGACAGCTTGGGGTTTCAGACCGTATTTCAAGTCGGTGTTCCAGGTTTAGAGCATGCAGAGGAGTTTAAGCATTTGGATTTACTTGATCCGCGCTCGGAACTTGTGTGCCCTTACACATGTCCGAAAGCCGAGGTGTCTACTTTAGATCCTCGTGGTTAGAGCGGTTAGCGGTTGCATGATGTGTCCGAGGGGTTGATGACCAAAGTAAACTGCTGAACGTTTCGCACTGTTTGCCGGGTTTCCATGCAAAACCTTCGCCCGAAAACATCGTCATCATCATGGTCATCACATAGGCTAACAGAAACAGCAGGGGCAGCAGGATTAGTAGGATCGTTGCAGTGGTGGTGGTGGTGGTGGTGGTGGTGGTGCTGGTGGTGGTGGTGGTGGTGGTGGCGGCATTAGTGGCGGCGGTGGCAGTGGTGGTCATCGTCGTCGTGGCAGTTGTATGGGTGGCAATAGTAGTGGCAGCAGCAGCAGCCGCTTGCTCCTTTCTTGTTCTTCCGGGTTTTTCTCCTTCTAGCAACTGCTATGCCAGGTCATCGCCGATCCAGATGCGACCCACAAGATCAATGTTACGGAAGGCAAGGCCATAGGTTTTGTAGATCAAGGGCTAAAAATTTCGCCGAAGCCTTGATTGCGTAATGTTGTTGGCGAAACAGACAGCAGTTTCAGGCAGCAGGGACTCTGATATAGGCCCTACTACATTAGGATTACAAGGACCCCTTCCAAAAACGAAGGTACCCTCTACTCTCAACTTCAAAGAGGGCTCGACGGCAGGGGCTCATCACTTCCTGACCGAGCAGCTCTACGCGGCCCCAGGCCGGCTCCTCCTCTTTTCCTTTGGGGTTCAGGGCCCGGAGATGCCGGGAGAGAGGCCAAAGACTGGCTGAACCGCTAAACGCTACGCCGCCTTAGGGTCATGGGGTTTTGGTGAGTCCGGGGCTTTGGGGGTTTAGGGGTTTAGGGAAAATGCTGAGTCTGTGCAGGCAACCTGCCGGCTGCAAGGACTGCAAGTCAGCGAGAGGCGGCGCTGCATCCAGGGCTTGGGTCTTAGAGTCTCAGGGTTTCGGGTTTAGGTTGGCTGTTTTATCCAGGCCTTTGTGATCCTGTCTGCAATGCACCCGATGCCCAGCATGCCATTGTTATCAACCAAAGCTTTTTCAGCCCCTGGCATTGTTATTCCCCACCTGCACGCACCGCAGATCGTGAAACCGATTCATTTTAAAAAAGCCCCGGGTCCCTGGGATTCTGAACCTGGCGCCCTCAACAAAAGAGCAGAAGCTGCTGCTGGCAGCCGCCTAGCCGAGGCCAACCCAAACTCAAACACCGTAAACTCAATACAAAAGAGGAGCAAAACGCTGAGAAGGAATAGACAGGTTGAAAAAACAAACTCCCCCTCGACAGTGTCTCGTGATTAGTTGAGGAGAGCAGCAAACCCTTCGAAACGCCTTAAACCGAGCGTATCAAACCTGGTTCATTCCAGCATTCGTGTTCACGGAATCATTCGGCTTTGGGGCATGTTGCATGAGTTGTGTTTACGAGCCCCGATGTTGAGCATATCGAACCTTCAAAGCAATCCCACCGACAGGCGATTTTACGAGCCTTGCAGCCCACGGCCACTTTTGAGATGATGAGCGTCTCGGTTAAGCCAGGACGTGGTTTACGGGGTACACGGTTATATTTCATACTGGGCTCAGGGTTCGGGTATGGCCTCTTCGTAGTAAATCATATTTGGAGACGTTCGACATTATTGGACTTTAGGGTTATAAACAGATTGGGTTGGGGTTTCACTGCACGAATCGGGTTGGGTTGCTGGTTTTGCGTGCATCTAACGCGGTGCACGGACTGAGGATTTGGGGCTGACGTGTGGGATAAGGGCGCGCATGGTTTCATGACAGGTACTGGGCGCAGCATATACGACCTGCGTGGCATGAAGGTTGCAACTTAGAGCACAACCTCTAACTCTTGCATGCGTAGCTCGCATCACCACTCCTCGACTCCCTGAAACTAACCCCCTAAAGCTCTGACATGAGGCCACATTCCCGTGGAGTTGGTGGAAGCTTCTGGGGAAGAAGCGCAGGCTGGAGTTGAATGGCACACATACTATATGGCTATAGTATAATGCTAACTTTCCTTTTTGGTTCTCTGGAGTCAGCGGCTATAGGGCCTGTGTCAGAGCTCTGGAACCTGCCTGCTCGACCGACCACAGCCATAGCACTTCAGGGTTTAAGGTTTCAGGGTTTGTATAACTTTACGTACCGTCGTATTTCCAGAGTCCCCTGATCGTCCTGAAGTTGGTTTCGAAAACTGAAGGTGCTCAGCCCTAAGCCGTACGCTTGAATCCGGAGGCCCTGCGACGGAAGCTACTGGAAGGAGCGACCATCGTATTTTTCACCGTGGCCCGGACAGAAAGGTTAGTCAGATCTTTGTTTCGCAAATCCTCCCCGTGGTCCTTTTGCAAACTAGACCCGGTAACAATATCACCAACACCCTGCTCTGTTCCAGTTTTCGACGATTTTTTTTTTATGACGCGGTACGTTCCGTAGCATCTTCTCGACTCTCCGGCGGTGGCGATTCGGATTTCGGCTTGTTCAGATGACGAGATCCTACGGCCTCAAAACGGCGACAGCCAGCGGCCCAAAATGGAGATTTTGTGCCCGGCTGTCGGGTTCATTGATTGAGCTGCGTAGCCCGTGAATTCAGAAAATTGAAGGCTGAACCAGATGTGCTGGTGGTTGTGTGCTGGAAGCACTGCGAAATTTGATGTCAGCGGCTCTATTGCAACACCTTCGACTGCATCATAGGCAAGCTCAACCTCTCGTCGAATAGCCGTGCTAGGGGCAGACCCGATCAGGCATGCATACCCTAGTGCAAGGGCCCCGACTTACCACACGGAAAACTGGCTACAGCATGATTTGGTCAAGCCCTTTTCGTTTGTTGGCCTTGGCGACTGAATGAAGCCGCCTGTGCCGTCTCCTTGGTCCAACCCCTCTAAAGCCCGAAAGCCATCATCCTGAAGTCACTGCGCCTCGCTCAGTCACAGCACGCAGTTTGGCAATCCGCAGGCAGGTTACCCTGGAAAACGGTTTATCTACGAGCGGGCCATGCAGTTGGGTGCGGCTTGGCCTAGAACTGGAGCGTCCGCACTTTGATTGAACAGGTGCACATACTTGGCAGTGCATAAGTGACGGTCTTTCCGGCATCTGTGAGCGCAGCTGTGCAATCGTGTGACATAGAACATCTGAGTTTGGTACTTGCCGCTCCATGCCGTTAGACCAAAACCTGTACCGGTCGCAATGACGAGCCATGTGTGTCCGAGACTTGAGACATCAACGTCCATGAGACTAGACATCTACCACTCCACCACCCATGAGTCTACTTCCGCGTTCGACTTGCAGATCTGACCAGCTCCCATGCCAGCCAAGGTCAAGAGTGTCATCATCGAGCATCCAGACAGCTGGGCCAAGTCTCTGGTGGACGAGGGAATCATCGCCAAATTCGTCCCCATCGACATGTCCCAGGCGGGCTGCCACGGGCAATCTGCAAAACAGTGTCATCATCTTCAGCCGACTTTTTTCCGCAGAGGTTCGGGCATCAGCAAGGGTCTCGCTGCCTACCAACCGATGCACACCCGATCCCACCACAAAATGTTGCTGCTCCGGTCATACGGTTAATTGTCATACAGTACATAGTGTTTTGGTTGTTCTCTTGGTCGCGGCCATTCCATCTTAGCAACAATCATCTCTCTCGCACAACCAGACCTTTTTTGGTTCCCTTGGCTTGAATTTCAGAGATTCCCACTCAAGACACGCACAGGCTACCTTGAAAGTCTATTCCGTGCATGTGGACATTGCCTAGGCCTAGGCGTTCCCATGTACTTACTCACTCCGCCTTCACGAGGATGCGGAGGCCGTCTTCGAACAGGCTGTCACCGCGATCCGCGCCCTCGGCTGCTGGGTTCGACCAAGCATATAGTTTATGTTATAGAATAGTGCAATGTTCGCTAGATCTACATATATGATATATGTATATGTTTCCTTCTTATGTAATTTTATAGTTATTGCTACATGTGACATACCGCACTGTAGGTTGTATTATACAGTATATAGGGTTCAGGACGTAGAATCATGAGCTTTGGCACACCACCACCACCACCACCACCACCAGCACCACCACCACCAGCACCACCACCACCACCAGCACCACAACCACCACCAGCACCACCACCCACCAGCACCACCACCCACCACCACCACCGCCACCACCACCGCCACCACCACCGCCGCCGCCACCACCACCACCACCACCACAATCCTCAGCCTTATCACGACGGCTGACAGTGCTGCTGGTTGGCTCCATGTCATCGCCAGAGAGATTTTGTTGCCTCGACAAAAATCGAACCCAGGAAAAGACCCGCTGACACTGGATGCAGACGCAATCATTACCTTCTGCGAGCTCTCCGTTCCCGTGGTGGCGAGGCAAGGCCCCTCTGCCATGCAAGCCTTTCCCTGTTTGGAGAATCGGGGAGTATCCGGGGCTACAAGTGATTTCGATGAACAACTCCCCGGCATTGCCATTGTAAGGCACTGTTGTTCCTGACAGCCGGCAGACTCTCGCAGGCTGAAATCGCCAGGAGTCTATCCGCATACCCGTCTCCTAAAGCGTCAGGCCTGAATTCCCAAATATTCATATTTCTCCGACCGGCAGCTCAAGTGATATGCACTCTGGCCGGAAAACATGTCCATCTGATAAAAATGTTTGGCCTGCCCTGACATATGGTCAAACCTGATGAGCCGCTACTCATCAAGGCCCTTATGTCAAGCCCTAAACCCGTATAGAACCGCTTTCAAAACTCTGTAAACCCCTAGTCTAGTTATAATCTAGGCCCCTTCATGTTACTCGGAAGCTCTGAGGCTCGCGGAAGTCTTGGGCCTTCCGGGCCATCCGCCCACGTCTGCGGCTCGCCGAGGTGTTGCGAGGAGACCCCAAAGTTTCAGCTTCAGGGAGCCTATGTAGGGCAAACCTTAGAACCCTAACGCCCTAAAACGAGATGAGGACTAGGGTTTGGGGTTTTATCAGAAGCTTGGGACATGGTTCAGGGTTCTAGGTTGAGGGCTTATGACAGGGGCTTATACGGACTGGGAGCTGTGGGCTGGTCCAGTGCGAAAGGTTGAGGATCGTGGGTCGCCGGGGTCTTCTCTGGGTGAAGCTGTGTTTCCAAAGACTCAAACGTGAGGCACCATCTTGGACTTCTGTGGGGATTTAGGCTGCCTTTAGCCCGTGCCCTAGCCATGAGTTGGGTAACACGGCTGGTGGCAAACTATGTGGATGGGCTACGCGACCTCGATGCCACACACTGGTGCCTTGACAAAGGCAAGCCGCAGCCCTGGAAGGCAATTTTCCAAAAGGCTCGGCTGGACAGCTCCATTCCAAGGATGCGTCTCCAACAATGGCAAGTTTATTGCGTGAGAAAGAAGATGGAGTTTAAAGGGCAAAAAATTGCTCGCACTGGCGGTGCATGCTTTTGCCAAGCTGATCCTGGATGGAGCTTGGGAGAAGGCTGCCAAAGCGGGGATCACGGACGAAACTTTGAGTGAGATCTTGGAGGTGCACTCCCCATTCTTACGCAAGCTGATCCTACACGACATCTGGCTGTCTCATGGCAAAGGCCAGGAATCTTGGCCTGACTTCAGATCCCTCCTTTTCTTTCTGACTAATACGTGCTTGGAACAGATAAGTAGGCAGGAAGATTCCTACTGCGTGGGTGCTGGAGCAAGGCCGATCCTGAAGAAGGCCCTCGAGCACAAGGGGTCGAAGACGGACGCAGAAATGCTGACGGCCCTGCATTCTGCATTCTTACCTGAAGCCTAAATCCGAGGCCCCCCCCTGGGAGGGTACCTGAAAATGGTAGTCCCAAGAGGGTGGAAAGCGAGGCATATCGAGGCATGCCCAGCACCTGTGCTGCGAGTATCGCCGCTGGCTACGGCGTAAGGTTTCAAAGCAAGGCAGGGTGCGCAAAGCTTCAGGCATTGAGCAGTGGGCAGCGCTGCGAGCTGCCAGGATCAGGGAGGTTTTTAAGAAGCTTGGATTCAAGCGCGTGCCCCCCATGGCAAGAAAAAGATACCTCCCTCCCCTCCCCCCCCAGGTTGCTGTGCATTATGAACATTCTCCCCCTTCAGGTCGGGTTGCCCTTAGCCTTGCTGCCGCGTGTGCGTGTGTGGTACGACTACCCTGCCCCATGCCCTGTCTCCGGGCTGGCGCCCCCAGCATTGCGCCCTCATTTACTCACTCATCCTAGTAACTGCCCCGTCAGAGTTTACATGTGTAGGCTAAGGTTTTGGTCAGGGTTGAATGTTTAGGGTTGGAGGATTCGGCAGCAGGGCTTGTTTACAAAACTTCCGATCTCAAGAATCTTGCGCTCGGGCGGGCAAGCGAGTTTGAGGTAAAGGAGCGGTAGGGCTTCAACGCCAGAAACAAGCTAGAGCTACGGGTGCACAGGTTTGCAGCTTGGGGCTTGAGGTTTAGACCGAAAGGCTCACAGGTTCTATGCCGTTGGTTTTCGACACGCTGCGCGAATTCGTCAAATTGAGGAGACCCCAAACCCTGAGCCCTAAAGCTCTAAAGGTGAACCTTAAGCCCCAAACAACCGTAAGCCTCAAATCCTAAACCCCAAACGTCAACATAGAAAACCTAAGCGCTGCATCCAACACCCTATATACATCCATAAGCTTAAACTATAAATCCTACCTACATCCTAAACCGCCAACGCTAAACCCTAAATACGCTACACGCTAAACCCCAGCAGTCTTGTTTTTCAAAAAAGAGACTTAAACCCGAAATCCGAATCCTTAAACCAGCTACCCTAAAGCCTAAACCCTCAACTCCCGACCATTATGGTGACCAAACCCGAAATCCCAAATACTACACCCCAAATTCTCTAAATCCCCAAACTTCAACTTCCCTAAGCCTTCAATTCCCTAAACTCTCGATTTCCTAAACTCCCCGACCACCGCCTGCCAGACCCCAATGCTCCATCGACATGTCATGTGTTCCGAATTGCGTACATGTGCAAGTTGCGCATACAATCAGATGGATAGGCCGAGTATGACCCTGTTCTGGCTTTACGGTGCTGAAGACCAAAATCCACAGACCCTGTTGCACATAAGTCTGCGTGGTGAACAACAACGATCACGTGCTCAACCCGGAACCCCAACACGAGCTGGCACACAGGTCGCAACTTGATCTCCCCCCCTCCCCTTCCAAATCCTCAAACCGGGAACCCTTTTCGCTCAGGTAGACAGGGCCCGGGACAAGCATCGGACACGGGCAGAGATGAAAGCTGTGGGCCTCCCCACGCCGAAGAACACACTTATCAAAGGCCTGACGGGTATAGGATCATAGGAGAATCGGGGGTTTTGCAGGGCAGCTTGGGGCGTTCACTTCGCAATGAGTCTCTGCTGGCTTCTAGCACTTGAGGCTTTGAGCGGATCTTCTCCTGTCTTGGGCAAGAAGGTTAGTTTATCCAGCAAACTCTAGGAAGTATTCAGTGAATGGTGGAGACCCATGAGCCCCGACTGGCAAAAAAACATTGTTCTCCTGAGAACCCGAAACTCCAAAACCTGGACGTCCCTGCCCTGGCTAACCCTAAAGAGCTGAAGTTTTCTGTTTTCGCTTTGTGGTCCAAAGGTGCCCACGAGCTCGAGGAAGCGATGAGGACGGTGGGGTTTCCGGCCGTGACCGGGCTGCGATGTCTTGTGAGTTAATATTTTGGGTTTATAGGGGGCTTTACGGGAGGCGTCAAGAGTCTGTTATTTATTGGGGCTGTAGGGGACGTGCCGTGACTTCCTTATCCGGGGTATGTTGCCACCCTTCTCCGGACTTGCCCAAGATGCCAGGTACTGAAGCCCATCTCGGGGGCCGCGTCCCTCGGTGTGAAGAAGGCGGGAGGTTCAGAAAGGATTCGTTTATATACGTGAACGCCCATAGTACTTGGACCCTCCCGCACACCAAATATCTATCAAAAAAGGGCCACATACCCTTATTGAAGGGTACAGGGAGGGTCTTGGTGAGATTCCCACAAAAGCACTCCCAGTCGCTTCACATTCATAGCAATCCTCAAATTCAACCTTGCATGGTAACCCTGGTGCCCCTTAAAAGGAAGCCTTCCAGAACCGTAAGCACTAAAAACTGACCCTGAGCAGGTGAGCTCCGAAGCAGAGCTTAGGGAAAGCTACGTGGAGGTCGTCACGGAGCTGTCGAAGCTGGTGGTGTCAAGCGCTTACTGCTGTTTTTTTGTAATGTCCCAAAAGGGAAGTATAGGGACAACCATAAGATGCTACTAGGCATAATATGGATTGTAGGGGCACTCTTACTTGCATGTCATTACAGTAAACAGTCACTGAGGTCAAGCGGGGCCTTGACGCAGGATGATGGCACTGGCAAAGGTGTCAAGGCAGAGAATGCCATGGACTGCACGATCCTCATGGAGCAGTATTTGGATGCTTGGGCGCAGCATCACCTCTTGCATATTGACTTCTCATCAAGCTAGAACCGGCCTGGTTTAGGAAGATTTGGCGGGTCGGCTTCAGGGTCGTCTTAGGAAAGACCAAGGATGGGAAGGAGGTGGATGTCGACGTGGTCATGAGTCAGGGTGAGTGGCGCTATGCAGCCGTCACAGACAACGGACCCACACTGGAGCCTTACTTCAACGAGACTTATGCCGTTTGCCCCTCACTGTTGCCCTCGGCTCAGCAGAAGGAGCTCAAGGATTTGGCCATCTCCACTCTGAAATGCCTGGGCTTCACGGAAGGGATCTTCCACGTCGAGTGCAAATACACCTCCCATGGCCCCCACCTCATCGAGGTGAATGCACGCATGGGTGGAGGGCAGGTTCACGAAACCAACTTGCGAGTTTGGGGCGTCGACCTCGTGGAGGAAACACTCTTCGTGGCCGCGGGAATTCCCTGCCGCCCCTTCATCCCAGAAGCTTGGCTAAAGGATTTCTTCTTTATTGGGGGAGCACTGGGGCTGCGTTCCGGGGCAAGGCTGGGACATCTCAGGTTAAGACACCCCTAGGGGGAGGGGTTGCCTACTGCGACATCAACGCGGAAGAGAGCGGCACGTTGCAGAACCTGGATTTTCTCACTTCTCTGCAGCAGAAGGAGGGTGTCGTGTGGGCACGCCCCTACATTCGCGCAGGATCCCAGGCCGGGAAACGGGCAAAATCCAGCATTACTTGCACCGTCACGGACTCCAAACTCTGGGCTGGTAATGTCATTTCTTTGTAGGGACAATGGCAAAACCATCAACGCACACTCATGTCTAATATTAAAGTTGACGACTTTTGAGTGTTTGCAGTTTCAAGCATATTCCAGGGTGTTTCAGCTCCCGTGTTGAGGGCTCCCCGACTCTTCTCAGGCCGGAGGAGAAAGCACTGTGCTTCAGCCAAAGAGCACAAATAAATAACCCCGAAACCCTGAACTCCAGAGCCTCAGAACTCGGAGCAAAAAAGGCAGCCTTGCTGGAGATCCCTCGTTCGACTTCGTGGCTGGTTCATTCGCCATCTATGTAGACGGTTCATATCCATGAACTAAGAACCCGCAAGAAAGTCCAAGCAGGGAATATGATGTGATGTGGGTGCTGGTGGTACTTCGGGAGCAATGAGCTCAAAAAAATGTAACACACTATTACTATGCACCCCAACAGCTCAGACCTCTGCCTTACTCGGGAGGTAGTTGGCCCGAAAGATGGGTTGCCGACCTGGATTGCCGAATTTCTTGCAGCATGGCCTTGAAAGTTGCTTTTTTTTCGAGGGGGTGGTGATCCTCGGGCAGATGAGGCTGAATGTGAAGGGATGGGGTTTGTGCATGTAGGGTGTGTAGCTGAGGGTGTTTGGAAGCTCCACGGTATCGGATGAAGCGAGTCTTCATGGTTTGATGCTGCAAGATTACGGAACTACGGCGGAACGGCAAAACCTATGTTGCTCAAGCAGTATGCGTCTGGCTAAATCACGGCAGGTAGTTGTTGTGTCCGGAGTCACCAGCGCCGCCATGCATGAGCTTGCCGATGTTCTCATGCTCAAACTCACTTAATCCCATCGCGCAAGTGCTTTTCAGGTACAAAGGCCTACAGCTGCTGAAGCATTGGCTTGCTTGCAGCAGCGCCAATCGGAAGTCAAGCCAGACATCCGTTAATCGGATTGGGCGATTGATTTTCCAGCCTCCGTTTTTCGCAGGAAATACGGAAGTATCAAAAGTGCTTGTCGTTGCGATGCTGCATATGCTCTTTGTGTGATTGGAACGTTTTTTTTCTCCAGTTTTGCAATCTGCCAGCATAAGATCATATCTGGGATAGTTGCTGGAATGCTTTAATCTACTTCTTGAGATGTACATTTGGGGCTGTAGGTCCTGTAGGCGTCCAAAACGGAGCATACGATCGTAATTTGAGGTCTTCAGCCAGCTAGCGGGTGTTGTGCAGGTCCAGGTGCTGAGTTTTTGCTTAAGGCATTCCGGGGTAGGGCGCCCAAACTGAAGCACAAAAGCACCCTCGAATCTGTAAAAACCGTGAAGCCTTTAAAACCTTCAAGCGGAAAAAAAAACTTTAAACCCTAAACCGCACACCCTGAACACCTAAGCCTCGAAACGTTTTTGGGCTCGAAGCTGGGTCCCGGTTCTAAGATGTACGATATGTTGCCGCTGCTATAAGGGGTCAAGATTCTTCTTATAAATCCAATGATGATTGTGTTTTTTCTGCAACCCTAGTGAATCAGGTGGTTTTTTTTAGAAAGGTTCGTATACG